ATATTAGTGGAAAGGTTAAAATAGGTTCAAACGATTTTCACTATTCAAGTGATGAAGATCAAGTGCTTTAGCCGTCAGCTAGACATTATCAAGAATACTTTCTTTTTTTTCAATTACTGTTCTGTTTATTACATATATGTATCTTTACCATAAGGGTTCAGTCTATTTTTCTGCTTAACCTTCATTACTTTTACTTCAGCTTTATGCTTTAAAAATACTGAAGTATGCAAATTAATATATTTAGCCTATTGATTGAATATACAGTAATATGACCGAAATTTCTCTTATATTCCAACGACTGCATGGAATTTCAAGGTTACATCAATAGTCAACGTTTTTATAAAAAAAATGTTACAAATTAATTAATAATATTTTACTAAAATATATACAAGAAAAAAACTTCCAACTATTTACTTAATATTATGATAAGAAAAAAAAACTGCAAAGTTAACAGTTTCAACGGATGTGTCGATACACTTTTATATTCTCATAAAATATTGATCTACTATTAAAGATGATTACTTTATGATCAATGACTATTTAGAAAACGTGTTATAAAGAATATATCGTATAAATTTCAATCTAAGTTTTATATTTCTTTATGTCGTATCGGATTACAACTATAAAGATCCTTTTGCTTTTAATACTTATTAAACAATATAATATAATATTTATTGAATAATTGATAATCAGTACCTTATTCTATATAATCAACGACAAATTTGTCGTTTCCAATATGTCAATTGAAATAAATAATCGAGACATTCTTTGCAAATATAGCTAAAAAAGAAAAAGAAAAAATTGTAATTGTTTATAGCGTAAAAAATCGTGGGTTTTTCCTTTCTTTCTTTCTTCTTACCTATAGCATATATGGAAACGTCGGTTGTTAGCTTTATACCATGTTACTAAGCATTTGTCCTTTTTTAACAAACGCAAATCTTTAACACGTGGTAATCTATCAATCATATAATCTTTCTATTCGTTTAAGAGATTTAAAATCTCGAAATAAATACTAAGATTACAAAAAAAATATATCATTGCTGTGTAAATAGAGGTATCGCTATAGACTAATTAAATTTTATGGAGAAAAAACATGTGAAACATGGCGTAGAACAATTACTTAAAGCAGCAGTTAATTTATCACAATTTGCAATGGTTACGTCAACACCTCCAGTATTCCCATCTTCAATTCTTAAATCATCAAATGATACAAATATCAATTCCAAATGGTCAAATGATATTTCAACAGTTGATAAATATAATTGGTTATTACATATTATGTATGGTCGTAGTGAATATGATCGTATTCAACAATTTATACGTATTCAATCATTTAAAAGTACTTATATGACATATATTCAAGCTCTTGTTTATCGACAAGAAGGACGTATTGTTGATGCACTTGATTATTTTCAAAAATGTGTCATTGAAGAACCATCTTTAATACATATTAAACAAGTAGGTAAATCATTAGCATTACTTGGACGTTATCGATTAGCAATTGATGTATATAAAGATGCATTAAAACATGCAAAAAATGATTGGGATATATTATATAATATAGGTTTAAATTATTTTCATTTAAATGAATTAACGGAAGCAAAACGATATTTTTTACAAGCCTTACAAGTATCAGAAATCCAAGAAGTTTCATATTTATCACTTGGGAAAATGTATTTACTCGATAATGAACGTGAAGAAGCTGAAACAGTTTTTCAACGAGGTGCAAATCGTAATCCAGAATCACCAACACTTTTTACTGAACTTGGTCTTAGGGCATTTGCAGTAATTTTTGATTGTTGTTTTTTTTTCCATCAATTCCTTTGTTTTTTTTATTTAGAAAGCAAATTATACAAAAGCATTTGAATGTTTTGGTACAGCCCTTACATTTGCTCCAACATATATACCTGCTTTAATGGCAGCATGTCAAGTTATTCAAAAACATGGTGATGCCGATGTTGCACTATCGAAATATCGTATAATTTATAGACAAAAACCTGAATGTGCACAAGTATGGAATAATATTGGCATGTGTTTTTTTTCAAAGAAAAAATATGTTGCTGCTGTTAGTTGTTTAAAACGTGCAAATTATTTAGCACCATTTGAATTATATGTTTTATATAATTTGGCACTTGTACATTTACATTTACAACAAAATGCATCAGCTGCTATATTCCTTCAATCCGCTATTAGACTTGATAAAAGACATGCAGCAAGTTATGCATTATTAGGTATAGCTTTATCGAAATTAAATGATACTGACAATGCTTTACGAGCTTTTACATATTCTATCAAACTTGATCCAACAGATCCAATAGCTTTACTTAATTTAGCGATTTTTCAAAAGAATACAGGTGTTTCACAATCAAGTATTGATATAACACTTACACAATTTCATCAATATTATACACAACGAGTCGCAGTGACGAATCAAAAAGAAATTGATAAATCGATGTTAGATGTTGCTGCTAAACTACAAAATTTACCATCATTCGCTCCTCAAAATAATGAAATAGTTGTTGTGCCACCACAACCAACTATTTTATTTTCTCCTAATAAGCCAGTTATTGAAGATTCAATGAATTTATCAAAGTCAAATCCTCACGAATTATCTGCTTTAAGAACAAAAACTTATGAAGATAGACGATTTAGACAAAAACAAAGCCAACATCAACCAATAACATCATTAGACAATACAGATTTCGAACAAAATGAACCGTTAAATTTTAGTTTATAATTATGTATTCTATTTGCTTTTTAGTTATCCTATCAATAAAATAAAATATGATTTTATAAAAATTCATATCATTCAAACATATTTTAAATAATCATGGTCATTTAAATACAAAGCAATTTGATTGAATTATAAGATTTTGAATATAAAAAAAGAGATCAGTTTTTAGATGAGCAAGCAAAAGGAAAATAACATTTGATTGAGAATAACTATGCTCGAATATTGTAGATCAAACTTCTCATTTGATATGCAGTTATATCTCATGGTCGTAACGATTGAACACCATAAATCAGGAGGATGTGACAGTGGTTCGATGGTGTAGTGGTTATCACGTCTGCTTCACACGCAGAAGGTCGCGAGTTCGAGCCTCGCTCGAACCTTTTTGTTAAATATTGTCATCAACAAAAATATTCTAATCTGTTTTAATACCATCAGACAATAAGCATTAATGATATGAGAATTAAATCTGTTAATTTATAATTATTCCTATGACAAATGACACTGATGTTCGACATATTCTGTTTGTATTTTGTTTAAATTAATATTGAGAAAATGACCGACAAACATATTTATGGCCTTTCCATGACATTGTTTAAAAGACTGACAAATAGCATGACTGAATAATACGTCAGTAATTATATAAAAAATCGTTTTATCTTTCAATTAAAATTTATTATTATATAATTATCAAGAATCAATTTCTTCAAATAAAAATCAAAATTTAAATTTCGGTCAAGCAGGTTTTTTTTGTTTTATTTTCAAAAAAAAACGAATAATCAAAATATCAAATCTTTCATAACAAATAATATACAGACTTCATTTTCAATCACAAATAAAAATAATGTGTTTTATTTAATCAATGATTGTTGTGATTTATTTGAAATAAGTATTGGATTAGAAAGTTTTATAGCAGGTGCAATTGATGATGATGTAAACGGTTTAATAATATTAATTTGTTTAGGTACTAATGGTGATGTTTCTATTCTATTTATAGGCGATGTTGACGATACTAATCGTATTGAATTTGGAATGGATGATGATGGTTTAGTAATTGATAAACGAATAACACGTGGCGTTATTTCTTGCGTTGTCTGAGAAGAAAAAACGAATATTTATGAAAATAAATTATGATTTGAACTTACAATAGTATTAAAACGTTGTGAATCTTTTTGTATTGTATTAGTTGAAATAATTTTCGTAACTTTTCGAATTGGTTCGTCATCGGTTAATGTTGATCCACCTAAAATTGGTTTCAGTTCAATAATTGGTGTAAAATGTGCTTGTTGTTTTATTCCATTATTATTATTATTATTATTATCATTATTTGGTATTTGATTTCGATAGCGTTTATTATTTGAACGATTCATTATAAGTGGACGACGATTATATGACGGTTTTGGTAGAATTAATGTTGTTGTTTTAATTATATTTGATGATGATGATGAAGAAGGTTTTGGAATGTTATTAAAAATCACATTTTTCATTGCTAGAAAAAAAGAAATAATCAATGATGAACATTTTTAAAGAATATTTACATTGAGCATTTCGTATATTAGCTTGATTTTGTTTTATATTTTGATAGAATGTTAAAATGTCTGATTGAAAAAAAGATTTATCCACTGTTAAATTTTCACTGTTAATATTTGTAGATTTAAATGGATTGATAATTTGTTGATATTTTATTGGATAATTTTCATTTGATATGAGAAGATTTGATAATGATGAATGAACACTTGTTATAAGTGTTAAATCAAGTACACATTGTGTAACAGAATTCATAGTATTCATACCATATTGATGAATAAGTTCTTTGAAAAATGGTATATGAATAGTAGGAAATGCGGATGTAAATGAATTTAATGATGAATGGGTTTTACGAAGAATTGTCGGAGATGATAAACGATGATTTGGTATTTTTGCAGGTGATACACTAACAATAATAGGTAATGATGATCTAAAATAAAGATTTGTTTTTGTTGTATAAAATTTCTTTTTGATTAAATCCTACTCATTTATTTGTTCATTGGATGGACATTGTGGACATGGGCATTTAACAAATTTTCGTTGATGAGGATAACGTCGATCATGAATATGAACAATTAATGGACCAAACTCACTTAATGCTTTTAAAAACCATGATGAATTCGCATTTGTTAATGATGATGGTGGTGTTGCTAATGCAGCTTGTGGTGATGTACAAATTTGTACATCAAAATCATCAACTCGAATATCGATTTTTGTCCAACTTACACGAAGACCACGAAGCGCCTTTGAAGAAAAAAATTCAGTTAATAAATATTAGAATTTCTATATATTAAAATAACCTCTTCAATTTTTGATAGAACTTTTGTGCGATACGAATGCCAATCAGCTGTACCATAAATAGCTAGTTCAATTTCAATCATTCGACTTTCACGAGAACGAATCTTCAGTAAAAATGTATCCGGACCATGCCCACCTAAATAAATTGATATTGAAATAAAAAGACTACACAAAAATGAAACATATTTATTCTCGAACATATTTCCTCATAATCATTGACGAAATAAAATTGATTCTATTTATCTTACGTTCTAAAGCATTTGTTAATTTTGCTCTTGCTTTTTCAATTGGTGTTTGAGGTACAATTGCAATATCTGTAATATTTTGTTGCATTTCATCATTATATTCGCATTTAATTGTTGGTGATAAACGTTCACCAAATTGTTGTTCAATTTCAGCATCAGTTAATAATATTGAATTAGTATTTAATTGTGTTGGTTTTTTTCGTATTCTTCTTGGTGGTTTAATTACTGATTCACTTTCTTCTATATAGAATTTTTTTCGTTTACGAATACGTTTTGGTCGTAATGATGATGGATCTGATAGTGATACATTTGTTGAACATGATCGATGAATATTTTGAACATAATTATCTAAATCACCGGAACTAGATTAAAAGACAAAAATAAAAATTCTGAAATTAAAAATTTTTTCTTTTTAATTTATACTAACTATTCAGGTGTTCCAAAACCCATTGGACCTGTTGGAATCACCTACATATACAAAATAAAATAAATTTTCAATGATTATATATATATATATAATACATTTAGCTCCACTGGTTCTTCTTTAGCTTCAGTCACATGAGTGATTACAAGCTATAAACAGAAAAAAAAAAATTTTTTTTGTTTTGCTAATGAAATAAAAAATAAACAAACATGTTCTTGTTCTGTTGGTTCATTTTTGATTATAGATGGCTCAGCTAATTCAATAGCTATTGTTGGTTGTTGATTATCATTTTTTGACACATGTTTTTTCTTTTTTTGTTTAATATCTAATGTTAAAAGAATTGAACTCATATCTTCATATGCAATTCGTTTTGAACGTGAAGATGATTTTTTTTCTTCGTAATTATTAAATATATCTTCATTATCATCATCAGACATAAATATAAAATTACTTGATTGTGGTAAATCTCGAATATTTTGTCGTTGTCGTTTATGATTTAGCTCAATATTAGAATTTACAGAGGTCATTTCTTTTCTTTTAATCGATTGATTTGTATGAGTTTGATCTAATGTTGTTAATGATTCAGGTAAATCAATAAGAAATTGTTCAGCAAATGATTTCATATTCATTTCATTATTATTCTGTTCGATTTCAAAATTATTATCATCATCATCATCTTGTTGAGTATTAATTATCGGTTGTTTTTCAATTAATTTATTATGAAATTCTTGAATATCATTTATAGAATTAAATGTAGCAAAATATTCATTATCAATAAGATGATATTCAGCTGATGATGGTTCAGTATTTATTTGTCGAACTAATGTAGAAAAAAGTGATTCAGTCGGCTTTTTTTTCACCATTATTTGATAATTATCACTAAAACTAATTTAGAAAATGCGTTGCTTAATTTGATTTTTACGATGCAAAAACGCGGCCGACGTGGCCTCCGCAACGGACCTAACAAATATATGATTTGCCCAACGACGCAAAACTCAGTGCCAATTATAGAGAGGCATTTATTTCGATATAACTATAAAATAAAAATATTGAAATTGATAAAAATTGATTCTCTTATTTACATTACGTAAAGCGTATAATAAGAATAAGATTTTCTAAAAAAATAGATATTTTAATAGATGTCACTAATAGTCGATTCTAGATGATAAAATTCGATATAGAATAAAATTGAAATTCAACTGATTCTTTATTGAGATGAGTATAATCATTAGAATTAGATTCATTATCTTAAAATAAGGTACTAGATGCAAAATGAGTTCTTTTGCATAACCAGATGTATATGAAGAAGCATATCTTAGTAAGATCGATTGCCAAGAAATAAATGTGACTTTATAATACTCTGTTGGCTTTTTTCAAACAACTAAGTCACTCTACAAAGTTGAATGTTCATGACAATAAAATCGAGAATTGATGTATCATCTTGGGTTTCGTTATATTCATACCAAATAAGCGATGATTCCCTTCAATGATCATTGTCTTATTTCTTACAAACCGAATATATTTTAGTCATTTATAAGTGTTACAGTACTGTAAAGACATTTAATTTTTAGTTGCTTTGAATCATAGTAAAGACTACCGTGACTGAAAGTTCAAATAAATATATTTGTCTGTATCAAAGATTATACACTCATTCTGCATAGCTATTCATTTACAATCGTTTCCATTATTCTCTTTTTTTAGATTCTTTGAAATTGATTAAGTAGTACTTGATTACATAACTATCGAAATAGTTACTTTAAACTATCCTTCATATAATCAACAGATAAGAATTGATTCCGTCTCATGAATTGAAGATAGGTTTTTGTACTATTTCTTTGAGCAAAATAAAATCTAGAATCAAATTGCATTAGTTTAATATATATTTGAAAACACCGAGACAATTTTTAAAGGTTTATGTAAAATATTAAAGTCATCATACTCTGATTTCTATCCGTGAAGTAGAGTCCAAAGATAATAATAGGCAACGTTTCTCTCTTTGTTTGAATTGATTATCTCAAATGATTGCTTTTACAACATAGTAAAGGAATGTGATATATTTTTTCTAGAATTCAATCAGACTGATTGAGAAGCATCTGTACAATATATTCAAAATCATTTAGATGACATAAATCCAAAAACAGTAGGATATTTTTCTATAAATATTATTTCTATTTTAAATTTAATTTTTATCATAGGGTATTTCATGGAAAGCACTTCGATATATGATCTCAGAAATTCAATATGATGGTAGAATAACTGATGATCGTGATCGTCGTTTAATGATTACCTATGCAAAAGTATATGATTTTATAATAATTAATCTAGAATAAAATTAATTTCTATAGAAATGGTTTTCTGATTTATTACTTTCGTCGACTTTTAAATTTTATGATAATTATTCAATTCCAAAAGTAAAACGTCTTGATGAATATATTGATTATATTGACAAACTTCCATTGATTGATCCACCACAAATATTTGGTCTTCATCCAAATGCGAATATAACATATTCAACAAATCGAGCAAAATCTATGCTTGAAAAA